ACAGTGCCAGTGATCAGACTCAGATGGATGAGACAATTGGTAGACATGAGGAGAGGGCAAATGGATCTTTGGCTGAACAATCCAGGACAGAGCATGAAGATTATGTTTCTGGAGTGCTGTATGATATGTTACAGAAAGAGGTCGTATCTTTGAGGAAAGGTTGCCATGAGAAAGATCAAACCCTCAAGGACAAGGATTATGCAATTGAGGTTAGCTAGTAGGACCTATCTCATTAATTTTGCAACCTCTCTCCACTTTTGTTTTGCTCTTAACTTGTTTCTTGTGTGGAATCAAATAGATGTTGGCAAAGAAGGTGGATACACTTAACAAAGCAATGGAGGTTGAGGCCAAAAAGATGCGGAGAGAAGTAGCTGCCATGGAAAAAGAAGTCTCTGCTATGCGTGTCACCAAGGAGCCTGATCAGAGGGCACGGCGCTCAAGTGCTCCCCGAGGGGTTGTAAATAGCTCTCATACACTTTCTTCTAGGTAAATAGTTGTGTATAATCTTTAATGGCCTGAAACTGATGCACTAGTTGTGGAACAGGCCGTCATTCTTGTTCCTGCTAAGTTCTTGATTATATAAAATAAACAAAAATGCATGGCGCGATATCCTTTTTTCTCCTTTTTTGGTCATCACATGGTGTGATATCAAATGCTGAAAGTTGATTGATAGTTTTTGAGCTACTTCGAGTAGAAGACCATTGATCAATCTGAACAAAGTTTTCTTCTTTCTTTCAGGAATGCCCACAAGTCTAGGTGATTGACATGGCCATGACACAATGGCCACATCAAGGGCGCCCCACTGATTCTTCGGGTCCGCAATCAATATAATTGTATGGTTTTGTCATGAGTTTTCGCTCGTCTCCATCTATTTAAGTTGTCTTGTCCAGGTAGGCAATTTGTAAAGAACTGACTTGAGGTTTCTCAGGTCACCCTGCCTTGTATATTTCTTTTGTACTAATATTTCCCGGAAATATACCACCGAGGGTGGCATGAAAGTTATGAAAGAGATGTGGCTTGTTAGATGCTTTTCAAGGAAACTGCAGACATGATAAAACTCTGTATACCATAAATGTATATTGGTAAGGAAGTTCACGTTAATTCAATACAGCTTTTAGGCTATTAATTAGCCTTTTCCAAAAATGGGTTTACTGGGTTGATGGCAAAAAGATTTTGTGCAGACAAAGGCTAGAGTTACTCATGCTTCCTTTTGTTCCCAGTCTTCATAATTTGGTAGAGATAAGCTGCCTCA